TGTTTCTGATAGAGATTAGCCAAGTCTTGATGATTTTGAGCTATGTCTTTACGAAAGAATCATTTCATAAAATGTAAGAATCTAGCATAAGTAACAAGAATTTGATATTCTTATACTTATGATAAGTATTAGGAGTTGTGAAATGAGTATGATTGGAAATGTGTTCATTTGATCTGTTTCACAAAGTAAGGACCATAGGTAAACATTGTGTGCATGCTAAGAGCATGGGACAAGTGTAGTAATAATTCAAGTAAGAAGTTGATTACCCGAAACAACAAATAATGAGTAATTAATATGGTGATTAAATAAAATGTTTTATTTATACCTAGAGTTTGGGGCCATATGGGATTAGTATTATTCTTGTGTTTCACTTTGCATGTTTTTACTTCCTGAATAATTAAATTGGTTCAGAACAATCAAATTATTCGAACGGACCACAATCGTTCATATGTTGGAAGTAGGTGTGAATGAAGATTGTCGTGAATTGGTGTGTGGATTATCTAAAGTGTATTAGACATAAGCAAATGTTTGCTGCAACGTTCATGAGTGCTTATGAATATGATTTGAGCATTGGATTAAACCCACGCTCACTTTGATCACTTCATGGATTTTATCACGAGTGATTGATGAGACGATAATATCTTAAATTTTTTAAACCGAGATGTGTGAGTTGTATCTTGCGAGTCGGTTATACATTGATAATATGCAAATGCACCAGTAACTTGGTGTCATAAAACATATTGTTGTGTGTAATTCGGTGAGTGAGTGCAAGCAAGCATTGAATCAAAGTTTATCTGTTCCTTTTATCCAAAGTGGGATGAAAGCCATATCTGTGGGCCCCATCGATGATATAGTGATGGCACCTAAGCGCTTGGCCAAGCCGGGACTAATTTGATGTGTTCAATTGTAGTCTGTTGTTAGTCGTCATAAATCGGAAATCGGAAAACAGTATAGAGAGAATGATTTAAATCCATGTCCCAGTCTATACAATATCTAGAATGGAGGAATATATGATCCCTTATCTAAAGGACACACTTTTGATAGGATCAGAGTTGACAGCGCTTTTTGAAAGCTACAATTACGGATCAGGATCTGAAGTCATATGCATAATAGTTATTAGGCTTATCCAAGTGGGAGACTGTTGGATTAGTGTCTAAGTCCATAACTATTTTGGTATGTGCTTGACCCGATGGTGCATGGTCCTTTTGGGTTGCCTTCATCAAAGCAACTTGATAGGATGAATTATGGAGAGAGAGAGAGGAGTAATTATGATTTATTAATATATTATGAGAATAATATGTTAAAGGAGAAATCATATTGTTTACTTAATATTAGCCAATAATTAATAAGAATTAATTTTGTGGCTAAAAGACATTAATTAAACTTAAGGGACTAGAACTGTCAATTGTATGATAGTTGAATACTGGGTTAATGGACTCCATATTAGAGGGGTGAACGAATTCTATGGGGAAACTCATTAGAAATCGTACAAGGCCTCTAAGGAGGGAGTCAATGGGTTGCTTAGGGCCTAAGCAGTCAAATTAGGGTTTCCTTGTTAGATAACCCTAATAGCCTCACTATTTAAGGATCCCTAGAGCACCAAAAATGGGGAGAAGAGTTTCCTTAGGGTTTCTACATGTTTTTGGGTGCCTTCTCTCTTATCATTATTCATCCTCTTGCTCTTGGTGTTTGTGAGCCATTAGAAGAGTGACACTTGTGACTCTAAGCTTTCTAAAGCCATTACAAAGGAGGATTTGAGATTGTTATTGCTACATAACAATCAAGGTAAGATCTAAACCCCAATCTTATGTTAATATGATTAATTGTATGCTAGATCTAGGGTTTATAGCTTTGGATATTCAATTTCATGTTCATTAGACAAACTAGATCCAAAAGCTATTAGGGTTTGCATGTACACCATAGGAATGATGTTTTGCTCATAACCCATCAGTATGGTCCTTAGTGAAGATTAAAAAGGTCATAAGTATAAAGAAGGATGTGGTTTTCGAAAACACGGTCCAAAACATGAAATATATTGTGACCAGGGAAAATGGCAATGTGTGCGAGTTTACAATAGCAGACTTTCCTTTGATGAACTTGTATGATCTTATACAAGTTGCATTACTGCTGAAGGAAAGATCATTTTCATATCTTCAAAACATAGAGCTTGATGAGTACAAATAAAGATTTTTATCGAAAATTATTATGAATCTTTGGCAATGACTGATGTGGAGTTGGCTACAACAAAAGGTCTGGAAATTACAGCACCAATGGCTCCTTCGAAGACTCAAGCAGACTTGAAGAAATATGCAGATGATGAAATATGCTTGAAGCCTTTTGGCTTAGTCTTCTCTGGGAAGTACAAGTCAAGAAAGTCTAAGAGATTTTTGTTCCACGCAAGTGAAGTTGAAAGATATTCTACTTCACAATATACAAACTTAATTGTTCGTATGAATCATTGCAAGAAGAATAATGAAGGTGATAAGAAAGAACTAAAGAAGATTATCTCTTGGTATACTGAGATACGAAGAGTTATGTTGTACTCCATTCAACTACTTACAAACTGAAGTCTTCAACTCTGTTTACAAAGGGGGAGAATGTAAGGGTAGTTTGTTTGTAAAGATTTGAAGTCTAATATGTACTCTTCGTATGTTTTGTTATCTATTTTACTAAGGCATTTTATACGAATCTTTGATGTCTAGTCCTTAGTATATTTTTTGTACGCTTTTACTCTTCTATAAACAGGAGTCTTTACTAGAGTTAGATAAGGCTTTTACTCTTCTATAAACAGGAGTCTTTGATGTCTACTTTTGCACTCTGTACACCTAAAGTGTAATATTGAGTTGAATCAAGATCTTATGTAAAAAATATATATTTAATATAAAATACATATACAAAATAGATTTTCTAATTTTAGGTTTAGTTTAGGTTTCATTTTCTCGTTTCCAATTAATAGATATTGAAGATGTAGTGAATTGATCATATATTTTTGGACATGTAATATTTTATATTTGTAATGTTGGATATGTCGTATTTTATACTTGCAAGATTGTTGGAATTGTCGTTTTGTAATGTTGGATTCGTAATGTTGAATTTTTAATTTTTTTAGTTTCTAAAAGATTAGGTTTTAAGTTTTTAAAGTTATTAAAAATAGTATTTTTAGCCTAAAACAAAACAATTTTTTAGAAAAAAAAAATCGAATTTTAAGCCTATAAACCAGAGGAACCGGGGAAACGGGGGCAGGACCGGGGCGATGGAGGTAACCAGGGCGGGACCGGAGGCTATGTAAACGGGGTATCCAGGGGTGGGACCGGGGGCGGGGGAACAACTGATTTCGGGGGTGGGGTGGGGGCAGCTAGCCAGTTATTTCCGCTCCCGTTTGATCCCATTGACATCCCTAATTTAGAACAATGGCCATAGACATTGTTATGTGTTGATGCCCCGCTAAAGTCTGGTCTATAACTGCGATTGGTCGTAGTACCACCATGATTGCCACCATGATTATTGTTTCTTTCACGACCACCACAAGTGTCGTGAATCCCACTTTGATTGTTGTAAAGGGCTTGAGCTTGAATCGCTCCAGCTGGGATGATGTTCAAACCTAAGGCATGAGCTTGAGCAACAAGGTTGCCAATATTAGTTTGGCTAGTTGTTAAGCCTGCGTGTGAATGTTGACTGGTTTGTGCATTGTACACCCGGGCATTGTTGGGTTTTGATCTCCCATATATGCACTCGTGATCAAAAGAAGAGATCGTAGATCATCAATGTGAACATCAGTACCACGTGTTGTTAGAGTTGTCAAATTATGTACATGTGGATAGACCGACTAAAATTATGAGAACCAAATCTTAGGGATGAACCGGATGTTCACCGATGGAGGCTAGTGAATTGGCATAGTCTTTAGCGCATTATAGGTATGTCATGACAGGTTCATCACTACCAATTTCAAGTTTTAGGCGATTGGTTTTTAGTGTGAGTTCTCGGGAGAGGCTGGATGGTTCATAGACATGACGCAAGACATCCCATATTTTGTGGGATGTGCATTTTCCATAAAAAAAAAGTCATATGATTGTTCATAGTTGGAAGAGAGAAGAACCATCTTCACGTGAACATCGTTTTCATTCCATATTGCAAAATTAGGTTTGGTACCTGAGTGTTGTCTTCGTTGGCAGAGGTTGAAAGAGGGCATGTAATTGTTCCATAAGTTAGCCAATAAGTTAATATGTTTAGAAGAAGGATTCCACCATTGTTTTCTAGAACCGGAAGTTATCTTGATTAAGAAGAAACACCCACCAATAATGAGAGTGGGAAATTTCTGTTGATGTGAATTTCGTGAGAATTAGAGCCATGATTGATGGTTAAGGGATGATCGTCGTCGGAGATCGACTCGGAATCGTTGCTAGAGGTTGTCTCTAGATGACGGCGTCATTAGGGTTACAAGCACTTAGGCTATGATACCATAACAAATCACAATTGAGAAAATGATTAATTTCATATCATTAAATGGGATAAGGGAAAGATACATATAGGGGATGTATTTACATATAACCCCATTAGACTAACCATAATTGTTAAACTAGTTACACAGATTGATACTTACGTTGAATTCGATGAAATCGAACTCTTAGGATGTAAGGCTTGTCATATATAGCTCATATTGAACTAGTTCTCAATAAGTACAACATGCAAAATTGTTCTCCTATGGTGCCCAAATTTCTTGAGTAGAACTTGATCAAATGAATCTCATCTCATATGATTTAATGGTTGGGAGTCTCATTTAGGTCATGTATTTATGCATAAGATTACTTATATATCCGACATGATTGTGACAATACAAATCAAATCTTGACTTAGACCACTAAAAGTCGGCCCAAGAATGTGTTAAACTACTTACAAGGGGCGAAAGAGTATATTTTGACTAATGTCCTTGAAATTGTGAGTTATTTTGATTCCGGCTTTGACTTTACAAAATGCATAGATGACAAGAAATCAATTTTAGGTACATATTCATGCTATAAAAAGGGTCAATATCATGGTGGAATCGTAAACAATAACTCACTACTACTTCAACAATGACGGAGGAATACACGGCTTATTACCATTTCATGTGTCTTGTTATGTTATTGAAAAATCTTATTGGTGTCCTCAAGGTTAACTCTCAGTGCCATTCAAATTATATTATGATAACAACGTATGCCATATTAGTTTCCCAAATAATATTAGTTTTCACACTAATCAGCTTCATCTTGATGTTAAACATTTGCTTGTTCGAGAAAGAGTGGAAGGTAGCATACAAAAGCACCAATGGCGAAAAGTTATCTCCCAAAATATTCCTTGAACATGTTTTGTTAATGGCCTTCTGAAATAGCATAATGTAATGTCATTACGTTTATTGTGTAATTATGATGACTATTTAAGTTGGTGATAATTATTGCAAGGAAGGACAAATTGCATCATTTATAACCACGTGAATGTGTTTTCCATTACCATAAAATTATTTATATCACATTCATAACCATGTTGGACTTACGCAATCATTTGACACATACATGACTTCTCTAGTCAAGAGATGCTTAGATGTATGAAGCAGAATGTTAGAATTATATGATTGTTTGTGGTCCCAACTATTAATCCATACATGATCGATAACAAACAAAAGTGATAATCGACCTTATTTTCATGTTTATGTTAAAACTAATCAAACATGGATGCCATAACATCCATGCACCTTCATAATCATAGAACCAAGTTGATGTGTATTAACAAATAAACACAAAAAGCTTGATGACACAATAAACATAAACATGGATTCCAAACATAGATACGATCAAATACTTGGATTAATGAATACAAAACGTTACTCTACAATCTACATAGCATTCATGTTTTACACATCCAAGAATAGATCTTCAAGTAACCCATATGGATGGAGACAAAAAAAGGCCATACCTTGATTTCAGGACCACAAATTGTTTACAACTTTGAAGCAGAAATGTCCCTTGATATTTTCTAGGCAAAAGAGAGTGTGGATAGGAAGGATGTAGAAGGTAAAACAGACATAGGACCACCTATAGTCTATAGAGCCACAGGTACCCCACCCCCCACTTGTAATTGCTTCCTTATAAGCAATCAGCATATATATATATATATATATATATATATATATATATATATATATATATATGGTAACATTTTTGGCTCTAGTGGTGTGCATGCCCTACGCTTCCTTCAAATTTAATTCAAGTTGTACACGTTACAACTTACTTACAATTTACAAACTCTTCTTCAACTTATACAATAATATTTACATTCTACAATACAAGTTCTACCACAAAAAGTTCACCATCAAACCTAAGTCCAGAAGGTTCAGCAGGCTGGAGAATCCCATCCACCATTCCACCAAAAACATACAAATAACGCCCAGATTCATCTGCACAAGCTCGATGAAATGACCTATTTTTCGGTTTATACCCTTCGGATTTTAGGTTCTTCCATATACACCCCTGACTTATGTCCAACAACCAAAAGTCATTCTTCCTGTGTCTGTAAGAATCTTCGCCTCCATAGATAAGAATCCTCCCTCCTAAAATCAATGTAGCCGAGTGTCCAACCCTAGGAAGTGAAAGCCCATTAGGGATGCTTCTGAGCTCAAAGACTATTGGTACCCATTTTAGATGGCCTTCAGACGAATCAAAATACCATACATCATTAAGCACTTCATAACCAATCCCTCTACCTCCAAATAACACACTCCTACTTCCTCCAATGTATGTCAATGTGTGTCCTGAACGAGGTGAGGGAACAGGGTCGTGGTGACTCACTGTTTCATGCCATGTCCCAAAACAGAGATTCTCAGATAAATCTAACACCCATGTGTCGCCTAATCTCATTCCAGATAACCCGATTCCTCCATGGATGAGCATTCTTCTGTTATCGATCAGACAACAGGCGTGGGCTCCTCTTGTTGGAGGTGTGATTGGGCCAACATCGAGTAGTCTCCATGATAATGCACCGGTGCTGGTTTCTACTTGAGCCATCCATGTATCGTTTTGACGGATTCCACTATCGTTGATGCCTCCAAAGAGGACAAGACAATTGCCTATAACAACACATGAATGACCAAATCGACCACTTGGGCCTTCTGATCTTACTCTTTGCCAGTTCATCTTTCTTCTAAAGCTGTTTCCTATGTAGGCTACCCATGTGTCATCAAGATGGCGTCCTACAACAACAAAAGGAAGAATTTTTTAATGTGTGAATTGTGATTACTAGCTTTTAAAAGATGGGAACAGAGAATATACATGGAAAGAGTAATTCATTCTCATTGAGCTTAACAATACAGAGTATAAGAGATTCTTATTAAATCATTATAAAGATGTTTGAAGATAAAGCATGTTTAGAGGTGTGGAAGTCTGGGAGATTGTAAGGAAAGGAGAATAATTGAAATATTGGACAAGGGTTATGATCCATTTGAAGAGGAAGTGAAATGATACCCTGATCTTGATACCTACTAGCATACAACTATCGATCTTGGAGTATGATCTGGAAGTAGAGAACGATTGCCTAGAATTAAGAAGAAGGAATGGAACTTGTGTTCAACGACTGCCATTGACTAGTTATGTGAATCCAAATCTGCCATTGATACTGATAGAATGAGCTTTTCACCATTAGACATCTTTCTTATGTCTAGAGATTTGTTTCAATATGTTCCTGTTCATATCTAAAAGCCAAATTTAATTTTGGGCTACTCTGATCTCCAAAAAACACTGTTCACTCAATATAGAAAACTTGGGTCAAATTTATAGCTTTAGAAGATAGATTTTGCTACGTTGTTCTTACCGACATTACGATCCTTATCTTCACTAAGATCCATCTAAAAACAGATGATCATCAGATAATTGGGAAAGCAGGGAGAAAGAAGAGTAACTGACCTCCTTCGGATCCGCCACCGAAGAGAACGAGACATCCGGAGAAAAAATTGAGAGAATGAGAAGCTCTAGGACCAGGGGAAGTCTCCGAATCTGTGAGCGTATAGCAGGCGACCCGATCAAGGTTACGGAGACGCTGATAGAGTCTCTTCCAGTCGATAGAAAGAGGAGATGAAGAAGAATTGACGAGGGCATCGACGGTGGAGTGACCCCAATCCCTGGTGCAGATGGATTTCCAGAGAGTATGGGATTGAGTTAGGCGAGTAGTTTTCTTACAGGTCATGGCAAACGACAGGATGGATTCCAGAGGTAGAAGCAGAAGGATGGAGAAGAGATGGTCATGTGATATATCGGTTATGGAGGTGTTGATTCTACTAGTAATGGTGCTGGTGCTTGCGGCATCATCAGCCATGGATGATTGAGATGTTATTGCTTCCTTCCGATCAAGTGAACTGAAGTTGATAATTAGGGCTTCAAGTGTAAGAATTTTGATTGTTTAGGTTACGAGTGGGTGCGGTGCGGTGTGGGTGGGTTCCATCCATTTTCTCCGTCGTTTTCAGATTTTGTCCCCGCTTTTGTTAGCTTCTGCTTAACAGACGCCTCCATTAACAACCATCTTTCAAAAATTATATATCTTACCACCATCTTTCAAAATTCAAATAATAAACTCAAATTTGCAACAAATTATTAAATAAAAATTCCAAAAATGGTACATTTTGTTTTTCTTTTTTCTACGATACAACGAGTTTTAAATTGCCGAGTTCACTCATTTAGCCTAGTTTGATTGTTGGTCATGTCCAAATTGAAGTGATTGTTTTTCATTTTTTGAAGTATCTTTTACCTTTTATTTTTAATATTTATGTTATAATAATAAAGAGAAGCAGGCCCGGTTTTAAGTGAGGGCAAGAGCTGCAGCCGCACAGGGCCCCGAAAAAAATAGGGCCCGAGTTTTAATTAAGTTATATATTTAATAATCAAATATATATGAAACTATTCGAATTTTTCCATAAAATGTGTATAGCTCAACTGGCAAAAGCGCCTCTCCTTTTCAACCAAGCGATAGTCTGTTCGATTCATATGCACGACATTTTGATTTTTTAAATTCAAATTACAGTTTTGACCCTTACTTTATGTTATATATTTCATAATCAACCCTTACTTCCAATGTTTAGCAAATCAGTTTTTAAAAGTTACATAATTAACCCTTGAACTTCTTATAAAATTCCATATGTTCCTTTTTAATTAATTTGTTTACTTTTAAGTTTTCCGTAACGACAATTCACCGTCTTAAGTTTGTTTACGTTATATATTAAAAATTATATTTAGGGCCTCATTTTTCTTTTTAGCACAGGGCCCTTAAAATCTCCAAGCCGGCCCTGAAGAGAAGCTTACCTAACCCTAAACACCCACTTAATCTCCTTCACCACAAAACTCGTTATCTCGCATCCCACCTTGAACCTCATCCCAACCCTACACTGTGGACAAAATCATCCGGTTCAGATTTATGATCGCTCATTACTTTACAGGAGATATACTATTTGATACCTCGGGCACTTCTTCTCTTCATCAAGGATCAGTACCTCAAACTAACAATATCAACCCCGACTAATTGGTCCTTTGTTTACCGTATTGGAGAACACATCATGTTTTCGTTCAAATTAACACTCAATCATACCTAACCCTTTAGAATGAAAATGTTGGAAGCACTAACCTTAATCTCAATCTAAATGGATCAGATATTCATTAGATATATGTTACATCATCAGATTTTGATGGTAAAGTGTTGGCAGGTACCGCTCATTATGTATTGATGTTCAATAACAATAGCGTATATACCGCTCATTATGTATTGTTGCTCAATAACAATAGCAATGTCATGGACATCTTGTATAAAAGTGATAATGTGACATCCCCAATTTCACGGTCAGAAAAGACCGATTTGTTTATGCTTATTTAATCAGAGTAATCGTTTACAGAAACCAGTTGTGGAATTTGTTCCCAAAACAAAATATGATAATAATTTATCAAAGCATTTCTTTAAAGAAATGTATCTTCATTAAATAACAAAATCTCGGGATGTCATATTCCGATACAGACCAAAAGCATAAACAGTATAAAATAGACCTTACAACGGTTATTTATAACTACTGATCTATAATTCAAAATCTATCGTCAAGTCCACCAACTTATACCCTTGTGTCATTACCTGTAATGCAAAGAAAACTAAGTGGGTCAGGCTTGGGAGTCTGGTGAGCATATAGGGTTTTCAACCCACAATAATATAATTATTATATTTAATCATCAAACAATCAATCCAATTACCCATCCCCTATCTTCGTTTAATCTTACCTAAAGATATTATCCTAAGGGTCATCTCCTATATCATATTTATCTCTCATCTCCTTACATCTTATTTCCTTATATGTTTGTTCCTAAGAACTTTTCCTAAGGATCATCGCCTACATCGCATAGACAATACTAATTCGGGGATCACTCACTCGATATGTGTCTAGTAAGGGTTAGGGTATCATGGCATGATTACTCAGCCACAACATCGTCTGGACTCATAAATCATAAAAAGGGTTAGACTATCATCGCATGAATACGCTGTCACAACATCGCCTGGACTCGTAATTCATAATAAGGGTTAGACTATCATCACATGAATATGCAGCTACAACATCGCCTGGACTCGTAATTCATAATAAGGTTTAGACTATCATCGCATGAATACGCAGCCACAACGTCGCCTGGACTCGTAATTCATAATAAGAGTTAGACTATCATCGCATGAATACACAGCCACAACATCGCTTGGACTCGTAATTCATTACCTATCTATCATCACCTAATTATCATCACCATTATATCCTCACCTATCTCTTATCACATTATTTTATCACACACCAACTATTTCATCTACCCATGTTCTACCCAACATATTTGTAGATATAAATTACATATATAGTTTAAATCATATACAAAACTGTATAAAACATTCATCCAACATCCATCTCAATAAACAAACAATATATAAACACATAACATGTATTTCATAGCAAATACTTCATATCTATGTCTTAGAAGAAAGTAACTACACACTCACACCAAACATATACTTAATACATTCAAACAATACTTGTATTAAAATCGTGTTTATGAAAGGGACTATATGCTCACTTGATTATACGATGCTCAGACAGCACTACGGCTCTAAGAGTAGTACTTCTTTGGTAGATCTGGAAGATCTTCACACACTGGGCTTCTCGCAGGCAAAGCTTCGGCTCGGAAACTCTTTTCTTATAGAGATCTCCGGGCTTCGGGACTTGCTTCGGGTCTCGAGATGATACCGGGGCTTCGGGGGGTTAAAATAGGGCTTAGAGAAAGTATCGGGAGTGGGATAGATGAGAAGGAGCAACCAAAATCGACTGACCCTCGATTTCTATTTATAGGGTGAATTTTCTGGGTTCACCTCGTGAGTTTCTAATATTCACCTCGTGAGCTAGGCTCACCTCATGAGCTAGGCTCACCTCGTGAGCTCGATACGTCATTGAGTTCTTCATGGCCACTTGCCCTGGAAGACGTCCATCATCTGTTCACCTCGTGAGCCACTAATGCTCACCTTGTGAGCTCTGACACAGCCTTGGGGTTCACGCCCCGAACTTCAGAAATTTATAACTTTTGCATAAGAGCTCCGTTTTTGACGTTCTTTATATCCACGCGTAGGTGAGATTATACTCTACAATTCTTGTTTAGACTGCGTTGGCTAATTTTGACTTTATTTTTAATATATTATAAATATATTATTTTTAGTAGGCAGAGACAGGAAAACTTCATTATAAATTCATAACTTCTTCATCCGACGTCCGTTTTCGTCTGTCTTTTTACCGTTGCACTACCATTGACAATATCTTAGATTCTCGTTTAGATTGTTTCGGCTAAAAATCGTTCAATCTCAAAGTCGAACTTCGGGTTGCATACTGCTAAGCTGAAAGTTAGAAAAATCATAACTTCCTCATACGAAGTCAGATTTGGACGTTATTAACGTATTCTACGACTTTCATTTAGATCGCTAAGGCCAAATATTGTTCTAACGTAAATTCACTATTTACGTCGCGCTGTGTCGTGTCGGTTCTGTCACGAAACTTCGACAGGTCATAACTTCTTCGTTTTAACTCGGATTTTAACGTTCTTTATATGTACGGAATCCTTGTAACATATGCTACAACTTAGTTAAGATTATTCATTCTAAATAATCTTCTATCAAAAATTCATTTTTAACGTTTAACATCTCTAAATTGACTAGCCATGATCTACGGGCGTTACAGCTAATAGTACTTACATGGTAATTGGGGATGTTATTTATTTCTATTTTTTTGGGCTCTCAACGAAATTAGTCATGGATCAATACATTCATTTAATTGGTCAATGATTCTCATGTTATATTGGTCATTCATTTCATTTTCACTTTCCACCTTTGTTGTTAAGGTTTTAGTTGCATCCTCCCTCCCATAATTTAACTTAATTCATTTCCAATTTGAAAATTGATGTGTTTAGTTTACAAATTTATAGTAAAAATCTTCTATACTTATGGGTACAGGATTCCATAGTGCCTATGGGTTACAAATATGTTCATGATCTTGAAAATGTTGTCACTAGATATGCAAATGCCAAGATCGTGTTGGAAGTTATGTCGAAATACATAGATTATAAGTTTTTTACATTAGACCCCATGAGAAGTGGTATGGTAGATTAAGAGCCATGAGCCGGTCAATTTACGTTTATTGTTTTCGAACGATTTTTGTCGTATTTTATTCTGTTACTACATTATTTTTTGCTCTCTTTCGATTGTTGATAATATTGGATATTTTATTGAGCAATTGGAATCTAAAGAAAACACTTGGAAATGATTATTTCACGATTTGTAAGTTATTTTACCGCATTAAACATTGTAAATCAGTACTTTGTTATATCGTTTTAGCCATGATTGACAAAATCATAATTTATGGTTTCTTGTTTGTACTTCATATTTATGTAGTTAATTATGTTAAATTGTTGTTATGAATCATAGACTAGTAAATTCTAAGTTGTGTTTGATTTATACTCTTAAATTTCAGTTGATGGAATCCATAATTGTTTTAGGAATTGAAACCAATAACAATAAATGAATTGGTTTTGTGGTTGAAATTAACTGCATTATAAACTTGAAATTCAAGTTTTCACACGTTTGAGCTAATTAGAAGAAATGAACTTTATTGGGAATGCTTCCATAAAACTTCATGCGACTTCTCAATTTAATGTAAGAGCTTGTTTGGGTTGACTTAGTAAGGTTAGGTTTAAATAAGTAGATTTAACTAAAAAAATTGAACAAGTGAAGAGGGGTATTAAAACTTGTTAATACATTTTAGCACCAACTTAGATTAGTGAATTATTTTGATACCAGCCATATGATTAACTTACATTTTGGATGAACAGAACATACTAATTACTCAATTGATTTCTACATCGCATGTTGTTTTTTGTTAAACTAAGTTTAAAAATAAAATAAAATAAAAACACCCTTTCATTGTTACTTTCTTTATTCTGAAGAGTTG